GAAATAATATAGTGATAGAAACTAGGTCAAGTGGGTTCTCTAGAAAGAAATGTGGCGCTGCGGGATACTCAGCCATGAAAACTGCTTTACGGGCTTGAGGGCAGGCAGCTCTGTTGTCAGGGAAGAACTCATAGGACTTTTAAGACCTAAGCATTTTTCCAAACAATGTGGCCAAACTAGAAAGGTGCTGCTACTGTTTCTACATTACAAAAAGAAGTGCAAAAACTGAAAGATTAAGGCTGAAATCTTAGGCATACTTGCCAGGAACTCCTCTCTCTTTGGCTACTATAGACTTTCACTGAAGACTAGTTTTCATCACTTGTTTCTCTCTACAACTACTCTGCAGTTCACGGAATGTTAGTTCATATTCAGCTCTTAAAAGTAGAAGTCCTTTCAGACTTTTCTTGATGTGGTAATCTTCTAGGGTACCTCTCCTACCTTTTCCTCATTGCTGGCTGGAGATAATAATAGTTCCCATTTTTGAGAGGAGCTGAAAACTAGAGAAAGCATGCCAATGGTTGCTAGGGATCCCCTAACACTTCCAAATTGTTTCCAGAAACTGAGAGCCCAGGTACATCCCTCTTCAACTTAAGGGGTGAGTGCCAGAAGGATTGAATCCAAATTAGGGTGTCAAAGAAACAAGAGGGAAGTATCAGCAGGTTTCCACCCCAAGGTTTCCAGAACTACAAAAATATTTTAAGAAGAAAAAGTTCTAGGAACAAATCCCCTTAAAACTGTGAAATAGGAACTGAACATGTTAAGCAACCATAAAATGTTGAGAAAATGGGGGGGGGGGACAAGCTAGGAGAGTAAAATGCCCTGCTTGAGCCCCTTGCATTTTAGTAGACTAAAGGTGGGCATAGCTAGCTGGAACCTTGAACAGGAGCATTCAAGTTTGGGAGGTGATGATGTGCTGCAGCACAGAGCCCCCTTATAATACACTAGCAGTGTGAGACATAGCCAGGTTCTGATAGCTGAGACTTCTGGTCCAATCTACACTACACATTTAAAGTAGTATCATACCACTTTAAACTGTCATACCTCCCCCCACAAAATCCCAGGAAGTGTAGTTTGTTAAGGATGCTGAGAGTCGTAAGGAAGCCTCTATTCCCCCCGCAGAGCGACAATTCACAGAGTTCCCTGGGAAGATTTATTGACTGTAAAACCTCTAAGGGAACTGTAGACCTGTGAGGGGAATATGGGTCTCCTAACATTGCTCAGCACAAACAAACCACAGTTCCCAGGATTCCTTGGAGTAAGCTATAACTGCTTAAAGCGGTATGACACTGCTTTAACTGTTTAGTGCAAACAGGTCCTCTGAATGAAATTTACCCTTTGTCACCTTGTTCAGCAAATTCCACCTAATATCAAACCATGAAAGTGTAATATGTAGCTAGGCTATGTGTTAAGATTACATATTTTGAGACCAAATTTTAAATCTGTACACTGCAATATACCTCATTCTTTACCTACCCTAGGGCACATTAATTGGCCAATTACAATTCATTACTATGAAGCTTGGAGATCACTGCACCCACACTAGTGATCATTCTATGATACTGTTGATCTACCTTCCCTTATAACACATTGATATAAACAATGAAGCTACTCTATGGATCAGAAATATCAATATCCGGAGGATATAGTATGGCAGAAGAGTGTGGATGGATTGAAAGAGTATATGCAACACAAATAGTCCCATACACATAAATATCTTCATGTCCTCCAATGACTCAAAAGTTTTAAGAATGTATATTAAAAAAAAATTTTTTTTGGGGGGGGTCATGTTTATGGTTTGAGTCTTGCTAAAAGTTATAATATGTATATGCACTACAATACTAAATCACTGCTCAACATTATAGCATCACCAGCTTCTGTCTTTTCTTAAAAAAAGGAAAATGAAGCCCTGTTCTTAAAGCAAACACAACACAAATCATATAAACCTTGCATTTGACTGCATACAAATTAGTTTTTAAAAAATATCTACAGGCAATATACTTCACGTGCAGTCTTTTGGCTAAGGATTCTTTATTTGGAACTAATAAATACAACCATATAAGGCTTCAGCTGAACAGTAAGCATGGCACATGCATCACTGACAGTAAGCATATTTTTATGTTTGCAAATATATAGTTATTTGGTGCTGTATTGTGGGGATGAAAAATCAGAAGTATCTCATAAGTCAGTATAAAATCTAAGTTTATTGTTTCTTGGTTACATAAGGAATAGAGCATTATCCCATAATTAGTATAATACAGTATATCAGTATCATTAAGTCTCATTAAAAATAAAAACCTTGCTCAAACTAATTAAGTTAAGTTGAATCTGCAGAACCTGAAATCATAAGGAGAACTTAATAATTAATATATATATACCATAAATTATCTGATGAACACCAATGGTTGCTTTTTTAAAGGCAACATGACAATTGTTAACATTTATGTTACACTTAGATTTCTCCTAAGTGTTTGGATATATTTGTTTTGTCCAGTCCTCTTACTTCCTCCTGTTCCAAATTATATACTAAAAGACTCCCCCTCTCCTTGAAAAGCATGGTATTATCATTATTCAACTAACTGTATTGCCATCCCAGCATTCTTACTTTCAAACACACACCATGGAGCTCCCAGTTATAATACTTTATAATGTATCTTGAGAAATGATAGTGTTTTACTAAATATCAATCACTTTAATTTAAATTCTATAATCATGCATTCCATAAAACACTGTCATGAACAAATAACAGCAAAATAATAATGTACATATTCGTACAAACTTTACAGATACTCAATAGAATCTATATTATCCAATATATCCAATCTATATTACCCAATATATTATATATTATCCAACACAAATATTTCCGTAGTATAAACATGACCTTACAGGTTTTGGTAACCAAGTCATTTTCCCAGTTGTGTGACTCCACAGAAATAATTAGATGCTTAATTAAAATAATATTTTGCTAACAGTGTTCTAGTACTCTAAATATGTCAGATACCACAAGGGTAAAAAATAGTTAACATTTTAAATGAACATACTGTTATCACTCACACATGTCTGTCCAAAAATATATACCTTATTCTGGAGAAAACAACATTTACATTTTCTTTATAAAAAGAAAAACCATTAACTGTAGATTTAAAGCAATTAAAACAATGCTGTATCCATTCTGCAAACCGTTTTAGGAAGATCAAGGTTGACAAAATAAGTAAATAAACTGAAGATGTTTTGGGCAATATGCATTACGAAACTACCCCCGTTCTGAATAATAATAAAAAACTTAAGAAGAAAATCCATTCAGAGTGGTAGAGATTAAGTATTTTCATGCTCATCAAACTTATAATAATAGTTTAGATTGAAAGAAAAGCAAAATCTTATTAGGCATTCACTAAAGCTTTCTTAACAAAAGGGCTTGTGGCCCTTTCACACACACAAAACCCTTAACCCTTGACCTTTTCTCAGTTAACAGAATAAGAACACTGAAAATATTACATATCATATGAATGTTTGTTTTGTACAAACACTCTTCTCCCTCTACTCTTGGGTAAGAAAAAAAGAAGTCCTCTCTTTGAAACAGCCCAAGCCTGCTTCTTAAGTCATGTGACTTTTTTTTTTTTTTTTTGCTAAGAGCCATGTGCTCGCGTATCATTTTACTCTGAAATATCTATGCGGATTTCAGCTCAACCTGCCTTTGCTTATAATGCATGACATGGGCTGTGAGGGAGCATGAGAACCATCTCTCTTAAAAGCAAGGTTCTCATAGTTGGCCTGTAACCATGGAAGCAGATGCTTCTTCCTTCTTTCTTTTTCTTTCTTTCTTTCTTTCATTCATTTTTTTTTTTTGCCTTACCCCTCCTTACCTCTTTGCAGCCACGAGCTGCTCCCTATTGTTAAAAGAGGTACGCCTTGATTTTTCTCCGTCGTGACCGAACTTGTCTCTTCTTCAAAGGGCATGATGCTGCAGGTCATCGGTCTAGACTGTTTGCACGGTCCAGAGAACAGCCTTGATGTAACCCTTGCTCCGTCTGTGCCACACCACCAGCCGTGCAACTGCAGACTGTGGGGGGACATTGGAGATCTGTATTTGAAAAGAAGTCCGTCTGATTTTGCCATTGTGCCTTTTCACTCATCGATCGAATGAATATCGAACCTTCTGTCGTTGCATGTGTGAAATAGATAGCTTAGCAAGCAGTTTTGAGCCCAAACCTGTGCAAAGGGCCAAACTGTTTCCTTTACTCCCAAGTAGTGTTCTTCATTAGATATCTGTTTCTCATTTATTTTATCCAGTTACATATTGATGTTATGCTTCTGCTGTACAACCACAATCGTTATTCTCAGGCTACGTCAACCATCACCTGTCTTCTCCTCAGCTTTTAAAGTAATTTTCTTCCACATAGTCATAGTTAAGGTTCACTCCTCAGCAAAGTACTTGGATATCGATGATTTAAGGCTGTAAAAACTGAGTGATCATGAGTGTGTTAAAATCACACTGTTGGTGCTTTGATTACTATTACAAGTAATAAAGCTAATTCAATGCAGAAATAAATGAAGCACATCTCACATTTAGAGAGACAAAGTAAGAAAAAGTGTTGCCTTTTTTAAAATGGAAGAAAAAAATCATTTTCACAAATGTGTAAAAAAAGAGAACTATAGCTTAATCTCTCTCACCACAAAGTCAATGAAACTTTGATCTGAAAATAATGGAAATGTTCCCTCTTCAGTAAAATGGCTACCAAACATATTTTTTATTTGAAAGAATATATTTCATAAGGGGGGGGGGAGAGAGAAACCCTGTGAAAGTTATGTATAAATGTTTCGAAACCAAACCAAGCATTCAAATATATTTAATTTAAAAAGGAAAACAAACCAACAATCTTCAGTCCCCAAAGCACATAAAGTGACGTATTCTGAAAACTGTTGATAATCATGTTTTGCTCATCCTCAAATACTGTGACCAAATCTCTATGACCACTGGCTGTCAAAAAAAGGACGGGGAAGTTAACCCCCTGACAACTATCAGGATCTGTTCATTGTAAAGTATGCCTGCCTCTACTCCAGTCTAATAAAATTCAGAATCAAAAAGGGCTTATATATTCTTCAGACTGCTGCTTAGCAAGAACTGTCTATATATGACATCAGTATCTGTGTATGTTTTGAGATATCAGTTTCTCTGTACTTGGAAGACATACCTATTTTCTCTAATTGCCAAAGGCAAAGGGGAGGTGCACTAAAGAATAAAGAAGGTTATTGTGACAGATGAAACATAATTCACAATGAATACTCTTTTCATCCAGACTTAAATAGAAGAGGATTACTCCAAGGAGAATTTTAGAAGAGACAGTATACTTTGATTCCAATAATATAAGGACAGGCCACAAACTGGAAAGGCACTGTTAACCTAAATAGGATTTTGCTGAAGATTTTGGATTTCTCCGTACTGGAAGAAGTGCTAACTTGAAGAAAGTCTGAAGAGAAACAGTCAATGCAAAGCAATATGAGCTGGGATTTTCTGGAGTGGATAATGATGAATGTTTGTCTTATATTTCTTCTTCATTTGACAGAACCTTAATGAAATGAGATCACGCTATTTCTTCAGTAAATTTGTTCTGTGAAAGTAGGTACCTTATTTTAATACACTTACTAAACTTATCTGGCTTCATAGAACTTCATTTGTTAATCTTCCTTCTATACTTTGCTTTTTCAGATGCTGGAGAAGTTAAAATTAGAAAATACTTACTAGAATAATTGTTTTACCAGATACAGGCAAATGTATTTGAACCAAAACACATTATATACATATAACTACACATTTATTTTACTTGCATTTTTGAAATTTTCAGGGGGGGATGGTTTAAACTGTAAATTGTTCAACTAATTCATTTTAATATTCTCTTGCTCATTTCACTTCCCTCTTTTTTAAAGTACATTTTGAGAAAATTAATTACTTATTATGATCATAGTTATTTAACAGGTAAACATAATAAACCCTTGCTTTTTCTACATTTTCATTTTCTTTGATGCAATATATCTTGATTAACAAATAGGTGCATTTTATATGTTAGTCATTGTTGCTGCCACAAAACAATGTAGCAAGATATAATTTAAGCTAAAACAGAATAATCTTAAATGGTAATACCCCAAAACAGTTTAGGGCGAAAGCACACATTAGATTCTTGTCATAGGTTTTCTTCATTATTGTATACATTATAAAATACTTCTAAATGACTGTAAGGATGAAAAGTGGTTTCTTAATCGAAATAAGAAATGTTTTAAATAATAAATGTTCTATAGTATAGCTCTATCTTTACTTGTTTCATACTTAATGACATGCCACCCAGTTTCAGTTCTGAACAGCATGCTACACATTTTAGCAACTTGTTTGTCCACATATAAGATTACTGAAGATTAAATTAACATTTGAATTAATATTAGTCCAGACATCTGAAAGAAGATGCTGTCCATTGAGTTACATCCCCTAATTTTATTACCAAGAAAAAATGTCATACTATAATGTCACTACAAAAAACTATTCAGAACAATATATACGATACTATTCAAGCACTACTTTCAAATATCTATAATATCAAACTGCCTATATCTCTTTTAATAACAACCATGGCATAATTCAACATTTCTGCAGCCCTTTCTCATAGAATACGCAAGGATGAAAAGAAATAGTGAAATGCAAGCTATTTTATCATGTTGAGTACAGAGCAAGAGGCGTCAACTCAAAAGACAAATAAGCTGAAAACAATTGTTTCATACAAAATGTCCATCTGTGTCAATTTCAGAGGTACGTGTTAAAGAAAAAGAACTGAGTACAGCCATTTTTATTTCATTTTGAATTTTAGTCATTATATGCTTCACTGAACCCTTATTAGAATATTTACTTTAAATATTTAGCTGCCATGAAGATTCTAAAATAGAAGGTTCCAATTTAAATCTTAAGATATTATCTTTTAGAAAACTGTGACTACACTATTCATTTTTATCAAGTTATGTTTAATGAAACAAAACATTAAAAGCTGCAATCTTAGTAGCAAATCACTGCATCTGAATAAAGTGCTTCACAAAACAGAATGTTATACTAACCATACAAATTAATATTACATAGTAAAATTTGATGCCACTATAATCTTAGCTAGGTTGCATAAGAGTATTGTAGATCAACATTTCATTTTTGTAAAAAAAATACTGTAGTCTACAAAACAATATGATTTTAAATACTACATTGTTGTATAGTAGCCCTGCATGCTAATAACAATTCAGAATGCATATTTTCTGCAATTAATTGGCTATGTTAGTAAATATGAAACAAATGTTTAGTTCATTGTTTGAAGTGTGAACATTTTTGTTTAAAGACTGTTTGCATTATTTCCCGTGACCCTTTGTTGCTGTATGGTTATTACAAATTCAGCAGAGCAATTTAAACATCTTTAATTAAAACTATTTTGATTCGATGAGGCTAGGAGCCGCACTCTCCATCTTTTTTTAAAGAAGACTTTGATTTTATAAGACAAGCTGGAGAGGAGTCAAATCTGCCACATGCTGTGTGAAAAAATGCCACCCTGGTGTGAACAAAGGGTTTAGAATGGAGTCAAGAAGTGTGCAAGCTCAATGTGTAAGCTTTTCCTGTGAATTGTTCTGCCACAACCTGCAGGATATCAAGTGGGCCGGGAAGAATAGGCAGCTCTTAGAAGCTACAACAGAGAAACACTGGCAATCCAAAGTGTGTGAGAGCCTCTTTTGTTTTGCTTCATTACGGCAAACTGTTTTACCCAAACAGAAACTAAATTCAAGACCAAAAAAAGGAAAGGAAAAAGTCTGAGACTGGCTGAAGAACCAGTGGTATGTGCCTTTTTATCTTCTCACAGTCCGGAACAAGGTGATGGAATTTACAAATCAGATAATTCATGGCATGGGCCTCTCAACTCTCCGTCCAAAATATAAGAATAACTTGTGCTGCCCACCAAAAGAAAGAAAGCTCTGTGACCTCTTCCTAAGCTAACTGCTGTGAGATGGAGAAAAACATTAAACCTTTCTAGCTTTATACATTTCCTTCATGATGGGTGATGTTGAATTGAAAATAAAATTCAGTTTTTTCTTAACTCCAGTGGGTCAATTTATTTTCACTCTTGACTAATATTTGTAACTTTTTTCCTCATTACTTGGCAACAATTAATCTTCATAACATGCTCAAAAAACAATCCTCATAATGTTTTTGACAATTATATACTGTTTTTTAACAACTGATATTCATAATCACCTTCAGTGATGGCATAAACCTACTCGTCTCTTAGTTCAAAGACACAATTTCATGTAAGCATTAATTTGTGTGGGATACGATTCACTGTAATTTAGAAAGTAATATAAGTCTTCTAATCAAAATTACGAATGTTTTAGGAATTCTATATCACAGTCATTATCAATTTCCACGTATACAACAGAATATATTATCTTTTTCTCCTGCATAAAGAATTCTGTAAGAATCACATTGTGAAAGTTTCTCTCTTCTCAACTTACAAATACAGATCAATCTGTTACTTTCATTACCATCACACAGTCCATTCTATTTAAAGTATAATGCAACACAACACCCAAGGACAATAAATATCTTTTTTTAAAAAAAAAACAACAACTTATTTCTGCAATGACTTTGTTGTGCATTATAAAATTATTCCTAATTAGTTCACAGCTAGCTTAAAAACTAATATAATTGGATTTTAGCTAATTCTAGCTGAATATCAACAAGAGAAACTATCAAAAAAGGAATTTTAAAGCTCACTTTAACATTAATAACTCTTTCATACTGTATATAACAGAGTCTGTCCAAAGCAAACACTCAGTATATCCCATAATATTTCATAGTTTTCCACTGTTTTAGATGTAGACATGTGTGTGTTCACGTGGAAATATGATTTCCACCAAAAACTGGGAAGGGGGACTGAATAAGTCTGAAAACAGTCTCAGTAATCTGGCCATTATGTATTGCTAATAAGTGTGATTGAGCTGGTCAATGTCTGCACTGCAAAGAAACACATTTTGTTCATTCTAAAACACCAGGAGGAATGTGGGTTCAGGCACACAGTAACAGCATAATACTTTGCATGACTATTCAGAATAAGCCCCACTAAGATCAACGAACCTTACTCCCAAGTAAGTGTTAATAGGATTGCAGCCCAAGTAGCGGATTTAGCATAGAGGACTGCAGCCTGGCTTCCTGTAGTAGAGCAAATGATACTGTAATTCTTTACTGGACCTGGCTATTTGGACCTGACCATCATCCGATTTGCAGTTTTGAATTCCAGTGGTCAGTCCTGAGCAGAACACAACTCAAATTGCTCGTGTTACGAACATTTTTATTGAATATTTTTGCTAGGGTTTTAAACATGATTTTAGTTCTTTTTGAACCATTATCCATTAACTCTTGTTGCACCATAACACTGTCTAATGTCCCTGCACATCTGAAACTCACACACTTCACCCCTCCCCCACATCCTTCTCTCTTTATACACCGTGGCACACACACTGTTTTTCGGGGGGGGGGAGTGCCACCACACGTTTGCACTCTCTTTTATCAGTTACCCCCCTTCCCCACCCCAGGTCTCTCTGGACCCCATCTTTGAATCTTCCTGCTATTTTTGTCTGAACTACCACAGGCTGCTTGTGCCCTCTGTGTCTCCCTCATGTGTTGCTTCTCTGTTAATCTTTTCTCTTTTCTTTGGCCCTTTGCACCATCACAGTTTTCTCTGTGACTCTTCAATATTAGCTATATTCTCTCCTTCCCCATCATGCACATCTCTTTGTACCCCACCATCTTCCTGCCCCAACTTTTTATTTCTTCAGTCATCATTCCTCCCCTCTTTCACTAGTGTCAGATTACCAAATAGGCAGAGTAGGCTATGGGCCCCACACCTTTTAGGTGTCCCATGATAACGGATCAAAATAATATTGATTTAAACTTGAAATAAATTTGTTTATTAAAATTGTTGGTTGGCAAAATCATAAACATATTAGATTATCTGTGAGGTCGTCCCCCCCACAAGATTTCAACTGCCTAGGGGCCTCCACAGGGTTCAATCCGGCACTGTCCTTCACCCCTTATCTCTCAACTCCTCGCTCACTCTGATAAAACACACACGACTATCTGACTGTCATGCCACACAACTACTTAACACAAACAGGTACGAAAAGGGTGGGAGGGGGGACTGAATGACGAAAAGAAGAAAAACTGGTGCCAACTGCATCACAAGCCTTTGGATTCTAAACAAGGATCACCTAATGATTGTTGGCATATGTTGCCAACCAAGCACCCACTCTTAAGGGCCATGGTGAGAGGAAGGCAATCAGGTCTGGTTTGAGCTGTGTGTGTAGAAAATACTTCGTGTGTCTGTGCCTGATCTGTTGCACACTGACTTCATTAAAATGTTCTAACATTCTAGTATTATATAAAATATGATTCCCAGTTCAGTTTTGTACATCACTGTAACATCCTCAGTCTTTCTAATAAGAATCCTTATACTTTCCTCACCTCCTATGTGGAAGACATACCAGAACTGCAGTATAATTGTTGCAAGATTTTGTAGTTGTCTTGTTTCCTTCTTAAGGCAGAATGTTGAGAATCATGTAGTTAGTCCGCCTCAAGGTCTGGTTGCAACACTGAGTTACATACTGTAATTCTGAAGTTTTCTATGTTATAGTTTAGACAGTTCCTAATAATCGATAGAAATTCTGTTCACATCAATGCATTTAGGAAGCCATCTACACAGTAATGCTAAGATTTCTTTCCTGAGTTGAGGGTACAAAAGCAGTTGTTACTTCTGCCCTTTTGTCATTACAAGTACTTAATGCATTTATATGGATGCACGCTAGAATCAAATACTCAAGAAAAATATTCAAAAATAAACAATTTTCAATCCTATAATGAAAAGTCACAATCGGGGCTGAAACACAGGTGAGATCAGCAGTATGTGATTGGATATTATCCTATCTTTAAAACAGGTTGAAAAGTCTCTGCATTTGATTGGAGGCAAAGATCCTGAATCCCTCTGCCCTCAGACTGGGGAGGATCTTCATTTTGGGTAATTGTTCCTATTAACTGATTACCACACGTTAGTCAAGACACAGCCAATTAGTATTGTCCTGTTGAGTGGCTAGACCAAACACTTGTCCTCCAGCAGTATCACTGGTATACATTTTGTCTACCACTGTCTTAGTCTACTTTGTGATTCTAATGCTACATATGAAAGCTCTCACCACAGTGAATAACTTCACATCTAAGATGCTATAGAGGTATTGTCAATTTTATTAAAGCTGAAACTTGAATTTGGACCTGTGGATGTGGCCTCTAAATAAAATCCATCAGGAAAGAGACACTGTCTTTGAATACAGTCAGAAACCTTTATCTGTGGCATGAGTTCATAATTGCCTACAGAATTTCCAGGAGCTAAGCTCTCCTGAGTTTAATTTTTAAATATTTATTTCATCGCCAAATCTTAAACTCATCTGCTCACTACCAATACTGTTTCTTGTTGGGTTCAAATGTACAGAATTTCCCCTACAACATCAAAATGAGAGGAAGATAGTAGGTTGTCTTATACTGTGTCAAACCCTTGGTCCATCTAGCTCCTTACAATCTGTCCTGGCTGGCACCAGGTATCTTGGATATCAGAAAGGAATCCTTCCTATCTCTACCTGCAGATGCTAGACTGAAATTGTGACCTTCTGCATGCAAAACATTTGCTATGCCACTGAGCTCCAGCCCTCAAAATGATTCATCATATGGTCTATTCCAGTTCCTTGTACAGTATCATATCCCTTCACTTTCACAGAATACTAAGTAGAGGTTTAATACTGTGTTTTATAAGGAAAACATTTCAGCAAGCAAGGAGGGAAAATTGCACAAGAAATGTTATAAATGCTTCTCCCACTTGAGTAGCCTACTACAAAATAGTAAATTGGATCCTATATATTTCAGGTTGTGGGGGAAAATAATTAGATATTCTTACATTGTATGGCTAGAGTTATGTTCTAAACTGTGAATTGAAGGAGGATAGTAGTAGTAGCAGCAGCAATTTTATTCGTTTAATTATGAGCCATAACAAAGATAAAAGACATTTAGCTCTTAATTTCCTAGCAGCCAATGTAAATAGAGGGACGCAACATAACATAATTTCCCTTGTCTAACAGCAAAAAGCTCACAAATTCCCATGGTGTAACAATTTAAAGGAGGGTAAAAATATTCATAAAAGGTGGAAATGGTTAGACCAGGAAGATAAGAGTTTGCTCAAAAACTTTGACACACATTCTTTTCAGACATTTAGCTGAATGTAATGTAAGAACCTTAAAGGTTTGGAGAAATCTTTCCTTAATTCATAAATCCCTTTTATGAGGTTTACTATTGTTGTCTTGGCCTTATTTGAATAAATATCATGAAAGTTTAATTTCAGGGGTTATTAGAGAATGGTAAAGGAAAACAAATCTCTTAACACTTTTGATATATATATAAATAGCTAGAATAGCTTGCCATGCCTTCCAGTAATGCTGGATTTTTAAGTACATTCCATTGATGGGATGATAGGTTGTTACAGGAAGTCCAGACTTCTTATAGCATCTTTTAAAGGTTATGGTTTCTTAATATGCATTCACAAGCAGTCACAATTTAGTTGCATTTCATTAATTTATTTCAATATGCATAGTATGACATGGGGGATAGGCACCTCTGACTCTACTGAAAGAGTTTAGGGACTTTTTCTCATAAACATTTTTGCATAATATACACACATTTCTTCCCTGTTATCAAAAACATCCCATATGAGGTGCTTTCATTACAGAGTTGTGATACTTTCCAAGCACTCCAAAAAGGAAAATTGTGTACCTAAAGAAGTGTGCCTTGATCATCCTAATCAAAAACTAAATAATGTTGTCTTCTCCTGTCTTCTGCTGTTTTACCTTGGTCCATCTCTTGCATTCTTCTACCAAAATTATTCATTCTCTCATTGCTCTGGTATTTACAGGGATGCTGTCTGTCATGTCGCTTTCAAACATTTTCAATTTATTCAATGAGAAATATTTGATACACATCTGAACCCAGTAGTCTAGAAAAGTA